CAATTCCAGTAACATTAGCCTCAGTCGAAAGAAGCTTTTCAAAATTAAAAATAATAAAATATTATTTAAGATCGATAATGTCTCGAGAAAGATTAAGTGGTTTGGCTATATTATCAATTGAAAAAGAATTATTAGAAGAGATTGACTACACAAAAATTATTAACAACTTTGCATCTCAAAAAACTAGAAAAATAGATTTAAAATAAAAACATTTATAATTTTTTTTAAAGGCCTCTAGTTTGATTTGGCCTTAGGCCACCAATGGGTTTGAGCCGCCCCTGGCGCTCGGTAGCTCAAAAGACTTGTTAAGAGGAGGAAGAAAAGGAAGAATTACACTTTTCTTTATGGAAGTAAGCAATCTCCAAAATGGAGGCAAAAGACTTGGACCAGAGTACAATCAAAAGTTGCATACAGATGTTACACTAGCCACCAATCTTCACTTTGTTGGCAGAAGATATGAGCGACTACTCGAGTAAGACGTTAACAGAGAGAAACTTGATCTTTTTTTTATTACTTCAGAAGATAACGCTGCAAGTCTTTAAATAGAACTTGGAAAACAAATTTAGAGAAAAAATAGGGCACTAGTTTAGCACTAACCCATGACCTGCTAACTAACTATTATCAACTAATTAGGATTCATAGAGCTAGTTAACTGAAAACATAAAAAGACTCCTAAAAGTACTGCCACTAACAACATTAAACTTTTGAATCAGTCAACTAACACTTCCCCTTGATTCAAAATCACACACTCCCAATTGCAACCTGAAATATTCATGCTTAGCCTGAGGAAGAGACTTCGTAAATATATCCGCTGCTTGCTCGTTTGTGCCGCAGAATTTCAGCACTATTTTTCCATCCGCTACCAGTGTCCTGATAAAGTGATATTGCACATCAATGTGCTTAGTTCTCCCATGAAAAGAGGGATTCTTAGCCATAGCAATTGCTGATTTGCTATCAGAAAAAATCTCAGTAGACTCCTTTTGCTCGTAACTAAAATCTTCAAGTAGTTTCCGGAGCCATAAAGCTTGTCGTGCTGCTAAACTTGTTGTTGTATACTCTGCCTCAGATGTCGACAAAGCTACTGTCTCCTGCTTCTTTGAACTCCATGTCACTGCTCCAGAACCAAAGCTAAAACAACTACCAGAAGTGCTTTTT